AATATTAAAATGTTTTTAATCACTATATTTGACTACTATCAAATAGAAGTTAATAGGTCAGTGCATAAAGTGACCTTGATTTTGGGGGGGGCGCTCAGTTTAATGTTCATCCTGATGCCACATACTGTATGTATTCTCAAAGAGTCAAACAAAGTCAAATTAAATACAGATTAGCTTTAAACATCAGGCAAGATTTAACAGCATCTAGCATACTCAGCAAAATGTCTGCAAACAGCTATATTTAAGCTTTCTTCTGCTTGTTCTTTACCTATGGCTTAGTTATAATTTCCAGTGCTGTCTGTCTCCACCGGGTAATAATTAATAGTGCCCTTGCTCAAAATACAAATAGAGCATGTGATGGTTCAGCTAATTATAAATCACAGCAAAGTTTCATCTGGGCCAAAATTTATTTATATCACAGCTGCCCAAATTAGTTTTCAAAAACACAGGATTGATGGTAATTCAGGTTTTTTTTCCTCTAATGTTTGCATCTGAAATGGAAAAAAAAATATAGCTCATCCGACTTCTCCAAATAAGAGGAAGTGAACAAATAGGTGCCTGAAAATATAAAAGAAGATTCAGCATCAAGTCAACGGCATATTCAGTCTTTTCAATTATTGAAATGTATGCTGCTTCTGCTAGTATTGATGACTTATGGATGGATAAGCTTCTGGTGATTCAGAATCCAAGATAACATTTGCGGAAAGGATGGTACTGGTAGGACTGATGGTGTAAAAGTAGGCTGGGTTTTGTCACCCAGTGAGCTGGATTGAACTTTTGTGGTTGTTCATTTCATAGTAGATATTTTTCCTTTGGTTGATTAAGGGTTTTTTTTAGCTATTTTAAGGCATAGTGCTATATTTTTTGTAGTTTCTTGCTCAAAATAATTGGAAGCCGCACCATCAACTTTCAATAATGTTATTATCAAAATTCAATAATATACAATATTTTGAAAAATCATGGAGAAAATCTACTGTGTATGATTGCTAACAGTCAACACCAACTTGACAGCCCACAAACTTTCCAAAAAAGAAGGGATATGATAACGATCAGCTTGATCAAAATGGAAATACAGGCTTAGGATAATTTCTCAATTATGTATATCACCCATGGCCCATGTGTATGTGATGGTTGACATCTATATCCAGATACAAATCTGCATAAAAGTTATGACTTCAGACATTTAAAGGGATGAAGATAAATCCTTACAGAGTCACCAGCTTTTGTTCATATTATATAACATGTGTTTCTTTGATGGATTGGATATAATCAAGAAATTATTTTGAAAATCTCTTGCTACATTTTAAGAGTGATTTTCACACTGTCTTATTCTTCCTTATCTACTTTTTGAAGTCTGGCTTAACATAGAAAGAACTGGGTTTGGTCATAAGGATTATTTTTAATAGTATTTTGAGCTGTTTAAGAATCTAGCCAGGCAAAAAGAAGACAACTTATGAGAATTGTCATAATTCTCAATTCATAGTAAAATGGTGTTTTTTTTTAAAAGATACATGTTGGATTGTTGAACAGCAAAGCATTATGTTCTTTTATTGGGTTTTAAATATAAGTTCACCTTTAAGAATTTCAAACCGCTGAATAATTGAGAAAAAATGTGGATGTAATAATAAATATGCTGTATAGTCATGGGTTACCAGAAATGAATTGAATTTCTACATTTGTGCATTGTCTTGGCAGCACAGGTACAAAATGTCTAAGTAGATTATTTTTTTTCTTCAAATTCAATAATGCACTATTATAGCCAGCTGATGCTATTCACAGCTTCTACAGGAACCTTCTCCAATCTATCACCTTCCAAGTAAATTGAGAATGTAATTCCCAGAATTTTCAGCTTGGCCATGTTACCAAGGTCCCAACTATTTCAGTCCAACACTTCTGGAAGGGCACAACTGAAAAAGGCTGTTTCACTATGCTGATAAGCATGTTTGGTCTTTATGATCTTGCAAGAACCACCAATAGGGAGTTGAATTAATAATTATTATTATTTTACAATTATTCAGCAGCATCTAAGATATTGCTTAGATCATTTTCCTACTGGCCATTTATAGCAGCTTCTAGCATCATTCAACCCTTGTTGTCCTAAATAACAGTGAGGAGGACAAGATTTGCAATGCTGAGTGATGCTATGGAAGATGCTATAAGTCACTGGTGAGAAAATAGCCTTACACAAGAGTAGCTGATGACACCGGTGAATGGGTTGTCAATCCCCATACACAGAAGCCAACATTTCTGTCAGCTGCTAAGAAGTGGAGTTAGCTTATTCATAAACAAGAGCTTCTTCATGCTAGATTTTAAGAAGACAGTTGTTAATTCAAAATAATATTGAGACAAACTCGTAACTAGAGGCATTTACCTTATAGAAATAGGTCAGCTTTGTCACATCTTATTCTTGGACTCTCTTACATTTTTTTTTAGCTCATGGGCTAATTAAAACTGCAAATTCAGTTTATTTTTCTCACTGGATAGCCATGCACAAAACTCCACTTGTATGTAAAAGAAATCCAACAGACCTTTGGAAAACATATTCAAAATGAACACTAGTTTTAGCAGCTTTCTGCAGTTAACCACAAAGTGTCAACACTGCTAACATGATGTTCTTGCTTTGACAACAGATGGAAATGCAGCCATTTTCTCTATTGCTTTTAGAATTAGTTGCTGCTTGGAGGGGAAATAGGGATGAGAGTCCAGCTAGTCATAACAATAATAACTAATTGTGGGAACCCAAGGACATTGGGTGTAGAGCTGATAGTGTTTTGGCAGGCTGGAGAGCTGGGGAGAAAGCCCTCGCTTCAAGCTAATTGGGGAATGTGATTTATGACTGTTTATTGGAGAAGGGAATTGTGCTTTGTTACTTTGGATCCAGAGAGGGGAATTTAGTTTTTGGTTTTGACTTATTTAAATACAGACATGCTGTTTTCTTGATAACAGTGTGGAAATACTGTTGTTGGCCATTGCCTTTTTCCAGGATCCCCCCACACAGACACCTCCCAGTCTAACTCACATAAGATAGTTCCTAAGCATCTCCCTTCAAGGTTTGATCCTGTTTAGCTTTTTTTATTTCTGTCAAGGTTGGGTAGACCTGCCAACCGAGATGGGCTGCAGATTTCAAAAGTCTGGAATCCATCCCATATGATTGCTCAGCCCTTCATACTGTACATCTGTAACTGAATGTCTAAAGAGAACTTTGGATTCAGATTATCATTTATTATGTGAATGTATCGCTCATTCTTGATGACATAGACTAGAAAGCAACAATGGTTCACAGGAAGTAATATTCTCCTTAAAGGGAAGAATATTGATTCAGCCGCAGAGGACAGAGTAAATGATAAACATTTCACTTAAATGCTTTCTTTAGAGGGCTACTACAAGATTTATACTAATTTCTTTACACATCAACAGCTGTTCTACTTATGAACCTCAACTACTGCCGCTGAGCTTGATATTCCCATGATTTTTCACAGAAAATGTAAAAATGTAACCACATCAGCAGATTTTCATTCCAAACATCTGAGAAAAATAATTACTATATTCTGAATTTCAGGATTGTATACAAGAGGTAGAGAGGTAGTGTATACTGTATATTTTTTTAAAAAAAGATTGGAACAATGTTAAAGGGAAAATAGGCATATTTTCATACTTTCATATATTCATACATACATATACTGGAACAGTATAAGAAAAACAAAAGGGATTTTTTGTAATGCTGCACCATCATCCCAAAGCAGACAAAGTAAAACTCAAAGTAAAACAGTGAGTGTATAAAACTGTTGCAACAGGAACAATACAAGTAGCCCTCAACTTACAACCATTCATTTAGTGACCGTTTGAAGTTACAATTGCACTGAAAAAGTGACATGACCATTTTTTCACACTTATGACTGTTGCAGCATCCCCATGGTCACAAGACCAAAATTCAGACACTTGGCAACTGGCATGTATTTATGACAGTTGCACCGTCCTGGTTCATGTGATCACCATTTATAATCTTCCCAGCATTTTCCAACAAGCAAAATCAATTGGGAAACTGGATTCACTAATCAACCGTGTTACTAACTCAACAACTGTAATGATTCGCTTAACAACTGCAGCAAGAAAAGATGTAGAATAGGGCAAAACCCATTTAATTACTGCCTTGCTTAGCAACAGAAATTTTGGGCTCAATTGTGATTGTAAGTCGAGGACTACCTGCAAAGTATTGGAATGTATTATTCTATGTATTATTCTGTGTTTCACCAACTGCAGTCTTCCAACTGAATTTGAATTGAATTAAGTCCAATAATATTTCAGGATCAACAACAACGTGGGCTGGGATTATGGGAGCTAAACTCCAGTCAAAACCAGCGACAGCTATTTTATAACTTCCATACTAAAGGAACCCCCAAGTTTAGGCCTGATTTATATAGTCTATTTTCTTGCATCAAGACTTAATCCTTTTGCACCAGTAGCAGAAAGATTATGTTAGTAGGTAACATATATTTGGGTAACATTTTACAACAAAGTTGAACTTTTTTGGATTTATCCTACGTCTTCTTTTTTTAGTCTGACATACAATACATGAATCACACAGAGACCAATGTTATTGGGTGGCCTTATATAAATATGTTATTTTTAAAGGAAATACTCCTTTTGTGATGACCCAGGGCCCCAAACGGAGACAAAACAATTAGCTGGTCAGAATAATTGTCTTTGTAAACACTGCCAACATTCACCCAACAGCCCCCACATATGCTGGCACATGTTCAATAAAACAGTCACCGGAGTTAAACAGTTCTTTAAAGTAAAATAGATAACAAACAAAGTATGATCTTTTCAATGCCCAGCTTGCCTGTAACCTGCAAACTGCAAAACTGAAGACAGCAAGAAAACTCATCAGGAAACAAACTTGATCCAAAATACAAAGAGTCCAGGTACAAGAGCTCACATCACAAGAGTTCACGTTTGTTCCCAGCAAATGCCCCACCCCACAGCGTCTCCTTAAATACCTATTCCCCAGGTGTGCCTTGTGAAGTGGGGCATGAAGCTCTCCTCCAGAGCAAGTGAGCCTGCCTCCGTTGTTCCCTCCTCCTCTTTGCTCTCCTTGCTCTGGGATCAGGTGGGGAGGGGCCTTGCTCCTGGCCTGAGCTCTGCCTTCCCTGTTCCAAACTTGAAGGGCCCTGGCCTGCTTCAGCCTGTTCCTCCCCACAGTCCTCCGAAGCCACAGACACCCCCTCCTGGGCCTCAACAGGGAACTCCATATGGTCCTCAGAGTCAGGCTCGGATGGAGGCATGACACCTTTTTTCATGCTTCATTCTGTCAGGATTACCCCATTTTAAATAGAAACAACTATTTCTTTAAATGCAAACGAATACGTTAACTAAAAGAGGAATGAAGTAAATCTTGTATGTCTCTGAAATGCAAATGCAAGAGGTAGCTGGATTGCTGTGATTCAGTCTAGATTGCTTTTCACAGCTTAACAGGCCCAAAGCCCACAGCCTCATTTGGGTGGTAGAGAACCAGTGGATGGCATTTATAACCTTAACTGAATGGCACTGAGCAGGGCATAGCTGATAATTATTTATCAGCCTGGCATGTGCTCTTTAGCAAAGGACAAGCTAAAGTGCAAAGCCCTAGATGAGTGCTTAAAACAGCAATAAAATATGCCCTTTGAAAAGTTTTAATGATTTTTTCCTTCCATTTGTAAAAGCCAAATACTGTTTTCATTGGAAAAATACACAGCAGGAGAAAGGCTGCAAATGTGCGTCTTCTCTCCAGAAAACAGAGCATGTGATTTGGCAGGAAGCTTTCCTTTTCTATTCCTTGACATGATGAAATTTTTGAGGTTATTTCTAGACTCAAAGGGCTGAACTGCTGTGTGTCTGCACAATATACTAAAAGCAAGTTAACAAAACCTCTGTGTTCAGATAATACATTATGCTACAACGAACATATTACAGCTTAAAGTGATGGCCATATTAAGACAATGGCTGAATCCACAGAATATACTAGACCAGGTGTAGGCAACCTTGGCTCTTTTATGGCTCGCAGACTTCAACTCCCAGAATTCCTGAGCCAGCATGGCTCAGCATGGAAACCTCTCCCTTTCCCCTCAGCATGGCTGGCTCAGGAATTCTGGGAGTTGAAGTCCACAAGTCATAAAAGAGCCAAGGTTGCCTACCCCTGTACTAGACTATTCAAAACATTTTCAGTTTAATGGGCTGTGTAAACCCAATCAATATGTATAACCTCTACTCCTGGTCCTGCTTGCCTCCATATTTGAACTAGGAACAATTTTTATTTAATTTTTATTCACTTTGGTGAAAGAAAATTTGATTTAGAAATCAGAATCAGAAGATAAATTGGTAAAATTCTATTTAAGGAGTATGATATTCTTCTACTTGCAGCATTTGGTAACAAGATTGTCCAAGACTATAAATCAGGGGTCCCCAAACTCTTCAGCTCATCAGTCTCTTCATTAAGTTTCAGGCTGTTCATCAACCTCCAAACATTAATTATATGAAAACAATGTCATTCATTCATTCATTCATTCATTCATTCATTCATTCATTCATCAGTCAATTTCTATTGCCACCCATCTCAATCAATCAATGATTCTGAGTGGCTTACATTAAAAAAAATCTATTACAAGAAAAATATTAAAAATATTTTAAAACAATAAGAATAAATAATAATAGTAACAATAATGGGACAATTCAAGCCTTCTTTCTCTGGCCACTGACCATCCAACCATGGGTAACACAATCTTGCTCATAGCCACCTCACTAGACACTGGTGTGGAGCTCTACAGAGATCCCAAAAGATTAATCAACCCCTATCAACCATCTATTGACCCTCCAGCCATTAATGACCTCCCAGCCCTTATTATTTATCAACCCCTTGGATAGTTCCACTGACCTTTGGGAGTCACTATGGACCACTTTGGAGAACCCTGGTAGCAGCAGTCTGCAGTTACCTGCCTTCCAAAATCTCTAATTACATTAGAAGATACTATGAGGAAACTTTTCCCAAGGTTGCTACCGTAACTCATAAGAGGAAATCCACTCTTAAGAACTTATGGAAAATTGTTATTTCCCTTTGGAGAAATTTGAGACAATGGCCTCCTGAGATCTCTCACACAGTCACATCAATGTATTTTTTTCTATCCTTAAGCTGGAAGGAGAGTCTATGGACTTAGATAGCATGGCCTCTACAGACTGGCTTTCCCCCACCTTAACCATGAGGCTGCTCTTATACAATCTAAGGACAGTTTCAATTTGGTCTAGTGGTTAAGGTATCAGACTAGAAATCAGGAAACTATTCTATTTCCGCCTTGGGCACAAAGCTAGTGTCATGGTTCCGACAGACAGAGACAAATAAAGCAGAACTCCGAGACTTGGAAATTCCTCAAAGGACATGTTTATTAGCATGATCAAAAGTGAAACCAAGTCTGAAATTCCCACAAAAAAAATTCCAGTTACAAGGTCTAATGTTCCACCCACAAATCTATGCCATCACTACATTCCCAATGCATTCATTTGGTGGGCTTTCTTATACAACACCCAGTCCCTGATTGCAGGAGAAGTAGATGACCTTGGTTCCCATGGGACAGAAGATTATTTTGACTAGTGAAGCACCTGGGCAAGCCCCCTCCCTCCGTTCTATGTGGCAACCTAGAATGAAGAGAAAGATGGCTGCAGCCAGGCTCATTGTAGAGTTGACAGCCAGCTGGGTAACCTTGGGGCAATCCCTCTCTCTCAGTCCTAGGAAAAAGGCAATGGCAGACCACTTCTGGAAAACTTTGCTAAAAAAATTGCAGGGATTTGTCCAGGCTGTCTCCAAGAATTCAACACACTGGAACAGAAGAAAAACAATGTTTCTGGACAGCTACTGATGGATTTCCAACATTTTCTAACTCATCCAGTATCATCTACAGGTAGGAAAATTATTACCTGTATGCGCTTTTGACAGGATTATTCTTCTCCCAAGTCATTGCCTTTAAGTAGCAGCATCTATGCAATTGTTTCATACAACTATTAATCTAGAAGAGTGATACATGTGTCAGAGAAATAAAAGATTGATATACCTATGTCAAATACGCAACCACCCCAAAGTCTGCCTGATTGATTGAAAGAAGTGATTTGAAATGCAAAGTGGAAAATTTTAACCTGAGAGCATCCCATGGTATTATGCTACTAGATCTCTCTTTTTTCCCTTCTAAGGTCAATATCCCCAACAAATCATTGTTGGCCAGCCAAAGAGACCCTTCCCTCTTCAATCCTCCAGTTTACATTTTTTAGATGGATCACTCATCTGGGTATGTATCTCACTTATATAATGTCTATGGTGATTCTCAGTCATCCAGGTTATGGTTGTCCCAAAGGTGCTTTTTCAAGAGACTACTGGACTTTCTTGGGGGTTTTTTGAAGACATTTTGCTTCTCATCCAAGAACCTTCTTCAGCTCTGACTAGATGGTGGGGAATGGAAGGATTTATGTTCCTTGCAGACAGCTAGTCATTTGCATTATTTTAAAGTGTCGTTGAGGACATTTTGAGGTTTATCTGTGTCCCCAAGGCAATTTCAAGAAGGCTCCACACTCATTTACACTACTCAGGTAACCTTGAGGACACAGATAAACCTCCAAGTGACCTCAACAAGTCTCTAAAAGAATGCAAATGACCAGCTGTCTGCAAGGAATATATCTTAGATGAGAAGTGAAACATCTTCAAAGAAAAACAAGAAAGTCCCGTTGCCTCTTGAAAAAGCACCTTTGGGACTTACATAAACACATCAAGACAACAACATACAGCAAACATCTAGCCTCTCTTACAACCAAAGATGTAATGGTCATGAAGGCACAATGGCCAGGTGAGTAGAGGCTTCTGTAATAGATTTGCCAGGCCAAAGGGTGCTGAGCAGATCCCTATTGCTGACAGCATCCTCTCAGGCTCTTCTTATGGTTGTCTGCATGAGAGATTTTGTTTGGGATGAGGTAAACAGCCCACCCCTTCCAAATTAGACAACTAAAGACAGCTCAAGGTTGCCTCAACAGCTGTTTGGGGATGGAGTGGGGGAGATGACATTTTTTAATCCTGCTTTCATTATTTTTATAAATAACTCAAGGTGGCAAGCATACCTAATACTTTTTCCTCCTCCTCACAGCAACAATTCTGTAAGATGAACTGAGTTAAGAAAGCGACTGGCCCTAAGGCAAGAACCACATTGGCTCTCTTGTCATGAAGATATATCCCTCAAACATAGTTTGTAAAGCAACTCTGTCTCACAATGAGCAGAATATGAGGATGAGTCCTTAGTTTCTTTGGCCACAAATTTGATCAAGAATTTCAAAGAGCCATTCATATCTACATGCAGACAAAAAGAAGCGGTAGTGAAACAATAGTATTGACCTTTCATCCAGCTCTGGTTTTTGAAACAAAAGAGCTACAACGCTCATTTATAGGAATTAGAAACAGAATAAGTGTATAGACCAAGAGCATGGACTCTTTTTAAGCCACGGGCCTGTGAACTTATTTGAAGAAAAATAACCAGCAATGTAATCAATGTTAATGGTTGAGTCTGCAGAAGTGAAAAGACAGATTGTCCAGGAAGCAGGTTTTGTCAGCTATTGGAATATTAAGCCATCTGCAATCCACTCAGTATCTCTGTAACTAAGGGGTATTAGTGACATGGGATAGAAGAAAGCATTTTTATATTGCAAGGAGTTTCAGTTCCAAACTCATCCTGGGCTGGAGGTCTAAATAGCTGCTTTCTTTGGCTCTTCTCTGCTTTCTCCTCCTCTCCTGGATATGCTTGTATTATGTAAGATTGCAAAATAGATACCATCTTAGACCTCTTCAGATAAGCTTTCACGTTCTCTGTTTCATAATGTGGTGCAAAGCAATGTTCAGTCCCAATCCCATCAATGCCAAGCTTTTTGTGTGTGTGAGATGACCATTTATTTATTTATTTAGTGTATGGCTGTGATAATCCAGATGATCACAACATGGTGGCTGATTATTTTTTTTTAAAAAAAAATATTTAGTTAT